GAAAAAATTAGAAGAAGAATTAAGATAAAATGGATTAAGGAGGAAAATTGTGAGCATGCCACCTCCTTATTGCATGGTGGACATCCATGCGATGTCACCTCACCTCTCTCCCCTCTTCTTCTTCTTCTACTCTCGGCCGAGAGAATCAACACACACACATACACTTAATTAACTTCCAAATACTTCCAAAATCCTCTCAAGAACACCTTCATTCTTCCATCAAAATTTCGAGATTTGCAAGCATTCCAAGAAGGTTCTTCACTCATATCACAAATCCTTGGTAAGTTTTTACTTAGATCCATGGATTAACTTCTATATCTGATCAAAAATCTCCTCTTAATTCATTCAAATTCATGATCATGCTTCTTAGAACCCATCTAAGCCCAAAGATTTCTCAAAAAGCTTGCTAGGGCCGAGAATCACCTCAACCCCTTCCATTTCTTCTTCAAAACCGTGAGCAACAAATCAAGGTGAGTTCATACCCCCTTGTTTTCGGTTTTTACTTGTTTTTGGGGGAGAATACAAGTACTATGCGTTGATCTATGTGTGTATGCTTGTTATATGTGATTTCTTTGGTTTATGTTGTGAAAATATGATATCATTTGCTAAATATTGAAATCTATGGCTAAAGTGTGAAGAATACATAAAAAACATGTACATAATAAACAACTTACTTCAAAGATCTAAGGATCTTTAGGCTTAAGAAGTGAAAACAAAGTCAAAATCCTTATAAGTGTCATTTTTTGCAAAAATAATCAAGTTTGGGTAAAATATGATTTTTCGGTTTTATAAGGACAAAAAAGTATTATTTACATAGAAATCTAAACTTTTATGAAATAACACTTGTCTAGGGGTTTAAAAAAATAATTTTAGCTTAATGGCTCTTTAAATTTGGGCCTTACAGTTTTGGGCCCAAGTTGCGAAAAATGAAGTATTTGAGGGGCTGTGAAATGGAAAAGTTAACAAACTATGAGTTTAAAACGTGAATAAAACTGTTTTAAGGGCTAAAAATGACTTTGATGTAAAAATTGGACTAAAAATGCAAAGTTTTCGACTTTGGGGTGAAAATTTTAAAACTTACGGAAATTGAGCCAAAAATGTAAACTTTTTTCAAATAAGGGCTGGAAATGGCAAATACAATAGTTTTGGGCTGAATTTATTTTTTTCAAATAAAGTTTGGGTCTAAAACGTCAAGAAAAACGGTTTAAGGACCAAAAATGTCAATTTCCAAAAAGGGGACTAAAAGTGCCATTTTTATAGATAAAGGAGCTTGAAATGGCCAAAACTAATGTTTTTTGGGCCAATTAGACGAATATTAATTTATTGGGTTAAAAAATATTAAGTTTATAACGCATGGTTTTATATATATATATATATATATATAATATCTATATATATATATATATATTATATATATATATATATTTATATAGGGTGAGGTTCAATAGAGAACCATAATTAACCAAGGAACCAATCTTTTTTCAACTTTTAGAACTTATTTTTATCAAAAAAAAAAAAACTAAAATACAGAATTCATAACTTTTTATCATTTTTCTAATGATATCAAATTCGATTTTTTTTACGTCAAATTCACAATGTGAATCTTTGAAAATTCACAATGTGAATCCGGATTTACACGGTGAATCCGAAAAATATTTTTCACATTCACAATGTTAATATATGAATTTAGATATTTATATATTTTTTTTTCGATAAAGAATAAGCTCTAGAAATTGAAAAAAAAATTTGGTTCCTTGAAGAACCAATAATTATGGTTCTCTATTGAACTTTTCCCTATATATACGTATAACCAAAGCTTCGTTATAAATCAAACATCAGAGTATTTTAATACTTCGAATAAACATTTCGCTTACAACAAATAGCTACATTACGAACTTAAGATCAATAAATTATAAATGATTCAATGGTTAGGCTCAAATATCTTCTATTCGTGCTATTGGGCCTTTATGACCCAATATCATGATTATCGGGCCCAATATAATCATACATGTTTATTGGGTTTCCGGTGACCCAATTACATACCCAGTGGGCCTTTATCAGCTTTAATATGCTATTAGGCATTAATGGTCAATTTGCATTGCTAATAAGACCCTAAACATTCATAATATGCTTAATGGGCTATAACGTGTCCGTAGCATACTCGACAGCCTGTAATAACATACAAAGTTAGTGGGCCTCCGTAGTCCTCTTCTTTTCGTCTGTTAGGCTTACCTTTATTCAAGTAAACATAAATCGGGTTGTAAAACAATGTTATTCAATTTCTTTTGGATTTAGTGAGAAATAACGGGTGACACCAATAAGTGTCGGTCGTAGTTTGTAGTTATAATCAAAGTCTCCTGGAGGGAGAGCGAGAGTTTGTGTATAGATCTATACGGGGGTGACTCCCCCACACCTAAGCTGTTCGCTATAGTTATACTCGGCCAGTCTAAGGTGACAAAATATTAATTCAAGACCGACATTCGATAAAATGCCAAGACAGGCGAATTAGTCATTATTATGCATGGTTATAATGACTCACATAGAGATCCATTACCATCTAAGTAATCATTGGGAAATCATGTTCATATGCTGTGACGATACAATAATACAAAAACTATCATACTATTTATATCGGAAAACATCGGGTTTTCCGGGGGAACAACATTATTCACTTTTACTTACAACAACTATAATACAAGAAACTATTATGAAAAACATTTCACTTTTACATGTTTTGAAATCATTCACAAGTATACTTATGGATCATCACACCTTTTTCGTAAACAATTCCTGTTTCAGAAAATATCGGATTTTATGGGTTTTACAAACAATACAAAACATTTTCATATCAAACCTGCTTATGAACTCACCAACATTATATATGTTGACCGTTTTCAAAATAACTTGTGTTCTCAGGTAACCGTTAGAATGAAGAATTATCAAGCGTGTGTCTGAATGTCTTTTGTGTGATGTCATTTGATAAACAATTTATGTTTGGGATTATGTAATGTAAACAATGTATTTGATGTGAACAATGACAGTTGTAATGTATTAATGCATGGTGATGTTTATGTTATGTTTCATGTATATTCATTGTGATGATATTTCAATTTAAGTCACACGAGCCCTCGGACGTTTCCGCCGTCTGGTTCGGGGGTGTGACAACTACATATATAATGAAGGTGAAAGGGTGTGGGGGTTTCAAATGCATGAGGTGTTGAACTTATAGAGTGTGTGATTTTCTTGGAATAGGATTATGTGTGGTTAATTACTTTGAAGGTGAAAGAGTGTGGGGGTTTCAAATGCATGAGGTGTTGGCAAATTTTTATTGGGGTTTCAAATGCATGAGATTTAAGAAAAAATGTTAGCTTTATAAGTATTTATGATTATGATATTATATATATATATATATATATATATATATATATATATTCAAATGAAGAACAACAAAATGTTTGCACTCTCCATGTGCACACCCACAACCTTCTAAATGTTTTAATTTAAAATAAGGACTAAAATTAATCAGCATGAACATTCAAATCATGATCATCTTCAAAAAGCATTCAAACCATCTTCTGCAAACTTTTAATAAACCAAAAATGGAAATTTAAGAAAATTTAAACAAAGAAGATGAAGAAAGAACATTCAAACCATCATCTTTGTTATAAAAAAAATCCCAGAACATATTTTGTTCATTTCTAATCTAAACAAGAACAAGATACAAAAATATAAATGTAAATTAATAATAAGGTGGACTTTCAAATCAATCTAAAATTTGGGATCCGATAAAATGATGTCTAAACCCAGATTTACTGGAGAAAAAACATTCAAATCATCTTCAACAAAAAAAGTTTCCAGAACTAAGCTTTTTTCAACCAAAAAAAGCTTGAATCGCATAGTATCGAACATGTCTAATTGGTAGCTCCACTCTGAATAAACGAAACACGAAAGCATAGATGAATCTCCTCTTTGATCTTGATTTCAAAAAAAAATACAGCAAAATACTGATTTTCCAAAAACACTAGATTTGACGATAAAGATTTGGTGGTATAGATGAAATCTGAAGGTAGAGGTGAAGATTCGATCTATCATCATCAATCCACCATCTTCCTCTTCAGAATCCTAGAAAACAGTAACACATAAACCATATTCGATCTATCACTGGAGACGAAGATTCAAAAAAACCCAAATACAAAATCGAAGTGAAGGTGGAGATGAACGTTGAATTTACAGCAGGTGGATGTTGTCTGGAGATGGTGACTTGCTTATGGATATCAACGACATTCTATGGTGGTTCAAATCACCAGTCAAGCTCGAGTATTCCCCCTTTCCCCAAATTCCTAACAAAATTAAACAAAATAGAAAGTTAAACTAAAAATTTCCGTTTTAAAATTTAGGATTGTATATTTGTGTATAAAAGATTTGCTTCTTTACCTTTCATCGAGAACAATCTCAAATCCAATTTTTGTTTATAGATGCAAGTCAATAGAGAAGAAGGTCAAAGAAATTAAAAGAAAGAAATAATTGAAAGCAACAATAGTTTTTTTTTTTCGTAGTAGATGCATTTCCAAAAAAAAAAAAATGCCACATGGATTTTTCTTTTAATTTTAGTTCTTAAAAAATATAAAAAAAAACCAAATAAGTTTATTGTAACCGGTAAAACCGGCATCTAATGTAGTCGTTCCCCGATTTAATAAGGTAAAACACAAACTTACGTCCCTAGAATGCAAAAAAATAAAATAAAGGACCTTTTAAAACAAAAAATAATATATGATTGGGCTACAACATTTTCCCAATTTTATAAATAGAAATATTCGATTAAACAAAAAAATAAAGGTAAAATGATCCAACAAGTAACAATCTCCTACAAAATCCAACAGTAACACTCTCCTACAAATTTTGAGACATTTTAAAAATTTGATCCTACAAACAGCCCAAGTTTTTCCAAAATCAAAATAGGGCATTGGATTAGCATTCGGAGTTTTGAGGCCCAATATCGTAAAACAACGTCGTCTCTAAAGCTAGAAAAAGTGTAAACTTGGTGCTCCCTAGTTATCCGATCCTCCCCTAAACCTTCAGCTATCATCGCCGCCGCATCACGTAGCTGAACTCCCGCCGGTCAACACGTCTACCTAACCTTGCTGCCGTTGCTTCAGTTGCTGGAAATCGTATACAGATGGATGAGGGTTCACATCACTCGTAATTTTAATTTAGCGTTCGATTGCCGTCGGGTCGTCACTTGTTCGTTTGCATCTCCTTTATCATTCTGGGTGGCAGCAGCGGCGGATTGTTTACTAGTAAATCTTCGTAGGAAGAATTACCTGTCTGCTTTAGGTAGGTTCAATTTTTCGACTGTTGCTTCGGTGCGAGATTCCTCCTGCGTGAAGACCATGGGTTCGCAAGCAGCGGCGGAGGTCGAGTGGCCGGCCAACAAAGTTAGAGATACTTTTGTAAAGTTTTTTGAAGAAAGGAATCACGTTTACTGGAAATCAAGTCCTGTCGTTCCTGTCAATGATCCCACTCTTCTCTTTGCGAATGCTGGTATGTTAATCTCTTCTCATCTGATTGATTGCTATATGACCGTATTGCTAATTTCACGTAATTTTAGATAACTCATATCTATTGAATGCTAATTTGACAACTGATATTTGGAATCCAGAAACTGATCAAGTAAATAGAACATGTGTACATATATGGTACTTAGTTTTGAAATTAGGTATCCATCATGATATCTAACAGCGATAACTTTGAATTACAGGAATGAACCAGTTTAAGCCTATCTTCTTGGGTACTGCTGATCCTAACACATCATTGAGCAAACTGACTCGTGCATGCAACACTCAAAAGTGCATTCGCGCTGGTGGGAAGCATAATGATCTCGATGATGTTGGCAAAGACACTTATCATCATACCTTCTTTGAGATGCTTGGTAACTGGTCATTTGGTGATTATTTCAAAGAAGAAGCCATTGGATGGGCATGGGAGCTTCTAACAACGGTAATGACCACAACTTTTTATCTCATTTTACCATTACTCTTTCATGTCCATGACTTGTGCCATTTATATTGGTTTACAGGTTTTTAAGCTACCTACTGATAGAATATATGCTACTTATTTTGGTGGTGATGAAAAACTGGGCCTTCCTGCTGATAACGAAGCCAGAGAGATATGGCTCAAATATCTGCCAACCGAAAGAGTTTTGCCTTTTGGTTGTAAAGTAAGTTTTTTCATCTGTTCTAATCATGCTTAGGTTTCAGCTAACTAATCATGTTTGCTCCATTCATTTTCTGGTAGGACAACTTCTGGGAGATGGGGGACACTGGCCCATGTGGACCCTGTACTGAAATACACTTTGATAGAATTGGTGGTCGTGATGCTGCGGATTTAGTTAACAATGATGACCCTACATTGATTGAAATATGGAATAATGTGTTTATTCAGGTAAAGATCTTGAAGTTTGTCTCATCTTTAAGCAATCATAGTTCTTATGTTCCATTGGCATTGTGGTTCATGTTTGTTTTTCCTATTCCACAGTTTAACAGGGAAGCTGATGGATCCTTGAAACCTCTACCTGCTAAACACGTGGATACTGGAATGGGATTTGAAAGATTGACTTCGATTCTTCAGAACAAGCTGAGCAATTATGACACTGATGTCTTTCTACCTATTTTTGATGCTATCCAGAAGGTAATATAAAAACTGCAAGAACACATACAAATACACTCCTTTACATATGTTAGTTGCAAATTGCAATATACATTGTCTGACTTCCATTGCTTTTGACTAGTCAACCGGTGCCAGACCATATTCGGGCAAAGTGGGGCCAGATGATGTGGATGGAATTGATATGGCATACAGAGTTGTTGCTGATCACATTAGAACTCTTTCATTTGCCATTGCAGATGGTTCTTGTCCAGGTTAAATCCACTGTCTGAATTGTTTGCTTTAGTATTACTCAATAAGATGTATGTTTAATTTTCTTTATTATTTTACCCGAATGACTGATTGTGCCATATAACTTGTTCTGAGTTTTATAATAGTATAAATTTTCTTGTTTTATAGGCAATGAAGGGCGTGAATATGTTTTGCGCCGCATTCTTCGGCGAGCTGTACGTTATGGAACAGAAGTATTGAAAGCACAACAAGGATTTTTCAATGGGTAAATTTTGAAAGTTTGATTCAAAATCAACAATATGATGTATATTGCAATACATGGTTTTTTTTTTCTCTCAATAGAAATATCATATTGAAGGGTTACAATACATTGTATGTTATAGTATATGCAACTTCTGGTGATATTTTGGTTATGATGGAAACAGATTGGTAAAAGTTGTGGTGGATGTAATGGGTCATGTTTTTCCTGAGCTAAAGCAACAAGAGACACATATCAGGGAGATTATAGCAGAAGAGGAAGCAAGCTTTGGGAGGACGTTACTCCATGTAAGCTTGATCTTTATTTACATCCTTATTTTTGTTACATAAAAGGTTGAAAATCAAATTGGAAAAAATGAAAATGGTTGTGAATGAATTGCCATCTTTTCTCTGTCTTGCATGTATAGAGAATTAAACTAGGCTATTGTTTTAAACAGTTATCTCTAATTTTCTATAAAAGTCTCTTGTTTTAACAAGGAATAACAACAAAAATGAAAAGGAAAATACAAGATTTATACAATGACTAAATTGGCCATGGTTGTGTATATAGGGAATTGAGAAGTTTAAGAAGACTGTTCAAGATGTCCAGGGAAAGATATTTAGTGGACATGATGCATTTCTGTTGTGGGATACTTTTGGATTTCCATTGGATCTAACTCAGGTGTGTGGAGGGTTCTTTTGACTACTTACTTTTATGTCATTTGTTTTCTATTATAAACATATATGTTTTCTTTTTCCAGTTGATGGCAGAAGAAAGAGGGTTGACTGTTGATGTTGATGGTTTCAATATTGCAATGAATGAAGCCAGAGAAAGATCAAGAAACGCCCAGAATAAGGTTCCTCATTTTGTGTTCTTTTTTCTTGCGTGTGTCCATGAAAAAATAACTGAATCCCTGTTTGGTAGTTTCATTGCTAATGTAATATTTGTGACAGCAAGATGCTGTTATGATTGTCATGGATGCAGATGCCACCTCAGCACTGCATAAGAAAGGGGTTGCTACAACAAATGATAGTTTCAAGTTTACATGGTTTAAGGTATGTAGGCAAGCCTGTTTACTTATATAACTTCATTCACCATATGTCAACTTAGTATTTTGCTAAAAATATCATTTTTTTTTTATAAAAATTCCAGGACCATAAAACTGTGATAAAAGCCATTTACACGGGTAGTGAGTATGTGGAACTTGCTTCTGTTGGTGATGATGTTGGTATAATTCTTGAAAGCACAAGTTTCTATGCTGAGCAAGGTGGTCAGGTTAGTCATTAGTGTTTGACTATTGACCTATTCATCACTATTGTCTCAATCAAGTAAAACCATCTTTTTAGACAAATGATGAGACATGCAACGGTGTTTTTTATGTAAATCACACCATATGATGGGCATTGAGCTGTACCACATAATTTATATGTTTCTTTTTATAAAATCTGACATAGTTTACTGGGGTTTTAGATATTTGATACTGGAGTACTTGGAGGCTCATCTGGATCATTTGAAGTTGTGAATGTTCAAGTTTACGCTGGTTATGTGATTCATCTTGGTAAAATTAGTGGGAAGTCTGGCACTTTCCATGTGGGCGATGAAGTAGTTTGTAAGGTAAGCCAAATTGCAGGAAATAGCAACATACTTTACTCTTTTTTACCAATATAGACAATGTACATTAGTTTCTACCCATATTAACTATATGTTTACATTTCTTTTACTCACAATGCACTTACATATTAACAACATACTTACATATCTATACAAATAATGGCATTATGTAACAATAAAGTACAATGCTCTTATTGATAGCAAAATTTAAGTATGTTCCTATAATAGGTGAAAACTGAAAAAGTAAAGTACATTGCTATTATTGGTTTAGAAATCAAATATGTTGCAATTATGGGTAAGTAATAAAGTAAATTGCCATATTGGTAGTTAGGGTGGTCTCCACACTTTTTTCATTAATATTTATGGTGGCTTTGTTGTACTTTGTTTCACCTTTTTGGAATTAATATCTTGTTGTTTAGGTTGACTATGAAAGGCGTCAGCGCATTGCTCCTAACCATACCTGTACACACATGTTGAATTTTGCCTTAAGGGTAATTGAAAAATTATTGATTTTTTAATTTTTCTTTATTGTCACTGTGGTTGATGATCATTCTCAAACTCCCTAACACTGCATCATTTTTGTAGGAAGTACTTGGAACACATGTTGACCAGAAAGGATCAATTGTTCTTCCTGAAAAACTAAGATTTGACTTTTCCCATGGTAAAGCTTATCATTCTACTTTCTGTCACAACATCATATTTGAAAAATCTAATTCTGTAGCTGTTTCAAAAGTACAATGCTATATATTTGTAGTTTCTTTGAAGTACTATATACCATAGTAAGAAAAAAGGTTTATAGAAAGAACTGAAAGTAGGATGCTATAGCAAACAAATATTTAAAAGTACATGTTTTGCATTAACAATAAAAAATACATATAAAATTTCTACAGGAAAGCCAGTAAAGCCAGAAGATCTTCGCAAAATCGAATCCATTGTGAATGAACAAATTAAAGCTGAACTAGAAGTTTCTGCAAAGGAGGCAAGCCTTGCTGATGCAAAACGTGTCAATGGATTACGTGCTGTATTTGGTGAAGTAAGCAGTATAAAACTATTTAATTTTTGTTCTTTTTTTTTTAAAATCACAGAAAATAAAAAAAAATAATTGGTGATATATACAGGTGTATCCTGATCCAGTTAGGATTGTTGCTATTGGTCGAAAAGTTGATGAACTCTTGGCTAATCCTGAAAATGATGTGTGGCAATCCATATCTGCAGAGCTCTGCGGAGGTATATATGCATTTTAATATTGATGACTTGAGGGCATTAACGTCTTTTGTACAAACAAGAGAGGTCGAGAGCAAGTCCGTGTCCTACCTTATAGGGCATTAACCACACTCTCTCCTTTAACCGTTTTTTTTTTACCCCATTAATCATCCTTAAGTCTTAAATCTTTATTCATTTTTACTAGTTAATCTATTTTATTAATTTTACAAAAGAATAATGAATATATTTTTAAAAAGTTTATCATTAAAAAACATAGTAACACCAATATTGAATATTTGAAATTAGAATGATTTTTTTTATAACTGACTTACATTATGATGTATTTATTTATTTAAATGTTAGCACCAAGTAATGTTTCATTGAGAAATATGTTGTGTGTTGCTTGATAAAATATC